ACAGGAGGCAGGACTCAGGGATGACCTCCACCATGGCCTGGGCCCCTCTCCTCCTCAGCCTCCTGGCTCACTGCACAGGTGACTGGACAGGGGACAAGGGAAGGGGCCTTGGGAAGACACATGGGCCCTGCTTCCTCCTCTTGTCTCCAGACCCAGACTCACCCTGTCTGTGTCTCCCCCTCTTCCAGGATCCTGGGCCCAGTCTGTGCTGACTCAGCCGGCCTCAGTGTCGGGGTCCCTGGGCCAGACAGTCACCATCTCCTGCACTGGAAGCAGCACCAACATTGGGGCTAATAGTGTGAACTGGTACCAGCAGCTCCCAGGGAAGGCCCCCAGAACCGTCATCTATTATACTAACAGCAGACCCTCAGATGTCCCGGACCGATTCTCTGGCTCCAAGTCTGGCAGCTCAGGCACCCTGACCATCACGGGGCTGCAGGCTGAAGACGAGACCGATTATTACTGCTCAGCATGGGATGATAGTCTGAGTGCTCCCACAGTGCTGCAGGCCTGTGGGGAAGTGAGACAAAAACCCCTCTGCTCTGTGCGGAGTGAGCCCTCCAGCAGCTGCCTGCTGGGCTCAGCCTGAGACCTGTGGCTTCTGCTGGTTCCCTCGCTGAGACCCTGGGCCCAGGTTCATCCGGGGACCCAGACTGGGGGAGAGCAGTCCTCCCTCCCCTCAGGTCTCAGTGTCACTCTGAGCAGCTCTCCCAGGCTCAGGGGCTGAAGGAAGGGAAGGCCTCTCCCCACCCACCCGCGAGGCCCAGGCCCCTTCCTCTGGGCTGGACTCCCTGGTCCTGTGAGACTGAGATGAGTGACAGCTGGTCCGGGCCCCGCTCCTGCCTGGGGCTCAGCACTGAGGCTGTGCTGGAAGGGCCACTGGCCCTGTTCCCTCCCCATTCTGATTTCCTCCCCTTTAACCAGCACGGCTGGTGGAGATTTACGTGTTATTTAAAACACAAGAATTGGCCATTCACATCAATCAAACTATAACGGGATGTCATGGTGATGAGGAATGGGGAGGTCCAAGTGAAAGGAGGGGGTCCAGGAGCAAAAACTCTGGCTGTGAGTGCCTGGCTCTGTGAGGATGGGCAGCATGGGGACAGGCAGAGGGCGCTGTCCTATTGTGTCTGTGGAAGCAGCAGAGAGACTGGACCTCAGTGTCCTCAGCTCAGAACCAGCCGAGCTTGCAGCCAGTGTGACGGCAGAGGTCAGGGGCATTATTCTGGAGCCGGCTTTGCACGGACACCCACACAGAGTCCTCACGGTGTGCACCTGACACCGATATAACGTCAATTACATCTGCATTAAAAGATAAAATAAAAGGATAGGAATGAAGCTGAATCCTCTGTCCACAGATGCCCCAGCACGTGGACGTCTATGGCAGCTTCTTAACGGCCTAGACGGAGAGCGGCCAGCAGGCTGTGCCTGGAGGCGTGACAGCTGTGAGTCCAGGGGGCGGCACTGATTCATTCACCTGCGGCCTCAGTGGTTGTCAGCGGAAATGGCCTGAATTGGCGGCCCAGAGGCTGAGGGGCCGTGTGCTGTGGCCATCGGGAGCTGGGTGTCTGCTGCTCACTGTGCCCCCAGGCTGGTCACCCCGGGACCTGCAGCTGCGGGTCAGCTGGAGACAAGGTGCTCTCCAGGGTCTGTGGCCGCTGCTGCTGGGACTGACGGAAGCTCCTAGAAAGTCCCCGCGGTTCCCTGGGAAGCGACTGGGGATTTCCAAGAAGTAGGACCAGAGCACAGCGGACAGCTCCCACCTCCGCCTGCAATGGGAAATGATGTTAGAAAAACGTCTGTTCCCGCCTTCCACCCAGAGAGAAGGCACTGCGTCCCCAATGCTTTTCCACCAACACTTCGACCCGCAATGTTGATCAACGTGCACCATCCCAGAATGTTTAAATCAGCCTCATTGTGACTTTTACATACAATAACATAGATGCATTTAAAAATGTATTTCAGAGAACAAGGGACAGGCAGAGAGAGAAACGTCAATAATAAGAGAGAATCATGGGTCGGCTGCCTCTTGTGTACCCCCTCCTGTGTACATCCTTCTTGTGGGGGACGGAGCCAGGACCTGGGCATGTGCCCTGACAGGGAATCAAACCCTGACACTGGAACTTAGGTGGCCAGGCCATACATGCATTTGACCGTGGCTGAGTGGTGACTGGAGATGCCCCGAGGTGATGGGGAGGCCACGGGAGGGGCCCCTGGCCTGGGCCTAGGGCAGGGGCAGTGGGCAGAGCAGTGGGAAGGCAGAGGTGGTCTCTCATGGGCTCTGATCCCCATGTCACTCTATGCTGTATCTGGGCATGGACACTAGAGGGCGCTGGGGGTTTGCTGCTGAGGGATCTGGGTGATCAGAGCTGGACCAGCCCCCTGGCAAAGTGCAAGACCAGCTGCTCAGGGCTGTCAGCTGTGACTCCCCAAACCTGGGCCCCACACAGCCCCTCCCCCGCCCACACCCATGGCCATGCTCATCAGAGGGCCCTGTCCCAGGCCCATGAGAGATAAAATAGATGGGGTCTCATTTGCATAAAAGGGTCCTCCCTCCCGCAGACTCTGAAGAGGGGCAGGGAGAGAGGTGGGGAGCTCTGCTTCAGCTGTGGGCACAGGAGGCAGGACTCAGGGATGACCTCCACCATGGCCTGGGCCCCTCTCCTCCTCACCCTCCTGGCTCACTGCACAGGTGACTGGATAGGGGACAGGGGAAGGGGCCTTGGGAAGACACATGGGCCCTGCTCCCTCCTCTTGTCTCCAGACCCAGCCTCACCCTCTCTGTGTCTCCCCTCTTCCAGGATCCTGGGCCCAGTCTGTGCTGACTCAGCCGGCCTCAGTGTCGGGGTCCCCGGGCCAGACGGTCACCATCTCCTGCACTGGAAGCAGCTCCAACATTGGGAGTTACTATGTCCACTGGTACCAGCAGCTCCCAGGAAAGGCCCCCAAACTCATCATCTATGATAATAGCAACCGACCCTCAGGGGTCCCGAACCGATTCTCTGGCTCCAAGTCTGGCAGCTCAGGCACCCTGACCATCACGGGGCTGCAGGCTGAGGACGAGGCCAGTTATTTCTGCCAATCCTATGACAGCAGTCTGAGTGGTCCCACAGTGCTGCAGGACAGTGGGGAAGTGAGACAAAAACCCCTCTCCTCTGTGAGGGCTGAGCCCTCCAGCAGCTGCCTGCTCCATCTATGAGGACACCTGAGGAGGTCAAATCAGGGCGCTTCAGGCTGAGCTGGACCCAGGGTCCAGGAGGGACTGACAGAGGGTTCTGGTCTGAGTCCTGAAATCTGAGTTTCGTGGCACAAACCAGCAGAAATGAACTGTTCTCTCCACCCGGGCAGCGCCCCCTCCGAATGCAGAGGATGACGGCCGGGCTGCCCGTGGGCCGCTGCCCGCTGCAGCCGGGGCCGGCCACTGGGAGGGCATCACCCTGGGGACACACCTGCCTGGCGGGGCCTCTGTTGCTCAGTGTCTGCCCCACCGCAGGCCCCCGGGGCCCGGACACCAGGGATCAGACCCCTCTTGTCTTTGCGCCTTTTCATGCCTCAGAGGCCGAGCTACAGCCAGACACTCCGGGCACCAGGGAGCCGGGGCCACTGGGCATCTGAGGGGCCCATTGTGTCCTGAGGAAGCTGGTCCAGGGGCAGCGACAGGCGCTGTGCCTCCTGAGACGAGCCTGGAGCCCACTGCGCTCTGTCCCGGGGGCTCTGTCTGTGGCCGGCGCTGCTGCTCCTGGGACGATGGAAGCTCCTAGAAACTCCTCATGGGGGTTCCCTGGGCAGCGACTGGGGATTGCCAACCGGCAGGACCAGAGCACAGCGGACAGCTCCCTCCTCCGCCTGCAATGGGAAGTGATGTTAGAAAAACGTCTGTTCCCGCCTTCCACCCAGAGCAGAAGGCACTGCGTCCCCAATGCTTTTCCACCATCACTTGGACCCACAATGTCCATCAACATGCCTCCTCCCAGAATGTTTAAATCAGCCTCACTGTGACTTTTACATAGCATAACATACATGCATTTGAAGTTGGTTGAATGGTGACTTATGTGTAAAGTGTTAAAATAAAACCCTTGCATGGAAATGTAAAAATTCTGCCTGGAATTTTCTGCTCTGTTTTTCCCTTTTCTCTCTCAGAAGAATGCCAACGTCTTGTGTTGAAAACAGACTCTTAGGAGTGACCTCAGCCCACGGTTCTGGAGAACAATGGTGTCAGGAGGGGAAATATGGAGAGAAAATGGAAGTTACCATGACCACGGTCTAAGAGAGCACATGAGGGCTCGTCCCCACCACCTGACCAGCCCCAGGGAGGGGCCCCTGGGATCCAGGGGAAGGAGGTCCCCAGCCCCCAGAGAGGGAAGACCCCGTGTCCTGCACTGAAGGGGACACGCCTCCATGGGGCTGGTCTCTGCTCTGGACCTGACTCTGGTCTAGAGTTTATGTCAGATGCCCCAGCTCAGTCCTGACCCCTGACCAGCCAGGAAACTGTGGTCAGCCTCCCCCTGCGGACGCTGAGTACAGACTGGAGATGCCCCTGAGGTGATGGGGAGGACACAGGATGGGCCCCCTGGCCTGGGCCTAGGGCAGGGGCAGCGGGCAGAGCAGTGGGAAGGCAGAGGTGGTCTGTCATGGGCTCTGGTTCCCATGTCACTCAATAATGTCCGGCCTGGACACTAGAGGGCGCTGGGGGTTTGCTGCTGAGGGATCTGGGTGATCAGAGCTGGACCAGCCCCTGACAAAGTGCAGGACCATCTGCTCAGGGCTGTCAGCTGTGACTCCCCACACCTGGGCCCCACACAGCCCCTCTCCCGCCCACACCCTCGGCCATCCTCAGGCAGAGAGACCCAACCCAGCGCCCAGGAAAGAGCAAATAGATGGGGTCTCATTTGCATAAAAGGGCCCTCCCTCCTGCAGACTATGAAGAGGGGCAGGGAGAGAGGTGGGGAGCTCTGCTTCAGCTGTGGGACAGGAGGCAGGACTCAGGGATGACCTCCACCATGGCCTGGGCCCCTCTCCTCCTCACCCTCCTGGCTCACTGCACAGGTGACTGAATAGGGGACAGGGGAAGGGGCCTTGGGAAGACACAGGGGCCCTGCTTCCTCCTCTTGTCTCCAGACCCAAACTCACCCTCTCTGTGTCTCCCCCTCTTCCAGGATCCTGGGCCCAGTCTGTGCCAACTCAGCCGGCCTCAGTGTCGGGGTCCCCGGGCCAGACGGTCACCATCTCCTGCACTGGAACCAGCTCCAACATTGGGGGTAACTATGTGCACTGGTACCAGCAGCTCCCAGGAAAGGCCCCCAAACTCATCATCTATGATAATAGCAACCGACCCTCAGGGGTCCCGAACCGATTCTCTGGCTCCAAGTCTGGCAGCTCAGCCACCCTGACCATCACGGGGCTGCAGGCTGAGGACGAGGCCGATTATTACTGTGAGTCCTATGACGACAGCATCAGCGGTCCCACAGTGCTGCAGGCCTGTGGGGAAGTGAGACAAAAACCGTCTGCTCTGTGCCGTGTGAGCCCTCCAGCAGCTGCCTGCTGGGCTCAGCCTGAGACCTGTGGCTTCAGCTGGTTCACTTGCTGAGGCCCTGGGCCCAGGTTTATCCAGGGACCCTGCCTGAGGGTGAGCGGTCCTCCCTCCCCTCAGGCCTCAGTGTCACTCAGAGCAGCTCTCCCAGGCTCAGGGCCTGAAGGAAGGGAAGGCCCCTCCCCACCCGCGGGGCCCCAATGTGTTTCCATCAAATCCTCTACCCACAATTTTCCTCCACGTGCATCATTGGTTTGGGGGTTGCCATGGTGGCGAGGAAGGGGGTGGTCCAAGTGGGAGGAGGAGGTCCAGGTGCAGGAACTTCTGGCTGTGACTGCCTGGCTCTGGGAGGACGGGCAGCATGGGGACCAGCAGGGGACGCTGTCCTATTGTGTCTGTGGAAGCAGCTGAGAGACTGGACCTCAGTGTCCTCAGCACAGAGCCAGCCGAGCTTGCAGGCAGTGTGACGGCAGAGGTCAGGGGCATTATTCTGGAGCCGGCTTTGCATGGACACCCACACAGAGTCCTCACGGTGTGCACCTGACACCGATATAATTACACCAATTACATCTGCATTAAAAGATAAAATAAAAGGATCGGAATGAAGCTGAATCCTCTGTCCACAGAAGCCCCAGCACGTGGACGTCTATGGCAGCTTCTTAACGGCCTAGACGGAGAGCGGCCAGCAGGCTGTGCCTGGAGGCGTGACAGCTGTGAGTCCAGGGGGCGGCACTGATTCATTCACCTGCGGCCTCAGTGGTTGTCAGCGGAAATGGCCTGAATTGGCGGCCCAGAGGCTGAGGGGCCGTGTGCTGTGGCCATTGGGTCTGTGGCCGCTGCTGCTGCTCCTGGACGGATGGAAGCTCCTAAAAGGTCCTCGGGGGGCTCCCTGGGCACCAATTGGGATTGCCAACCGGCAGGACCAGAGCAGCGGACAGCTCCCGCCTCCGCCTGCAATGGGAAGGGATGTCAGAAAAACGTCTGTTCAGCTGAAACTGGAAACTGGTTTGGCTCAATGGATAGAGTGTTGGCTTGGGGACTGAAGGGTTTCGGGTTCAATTCAGGTCAAGGGCATGTACCTCAGTTGCAGGCACATCCCCAGTAGGGGGTGTGCAAGAGGCAGCTGATCGATGACTCTCTCTCATCGATTTTTCTAACTCTCCATCTCTCTTCCTTCCTCTCTGTACAAAATCAATAAAATATATTTTAAAAATAAAATACAAGAAAAAGAAAAACGTCTGTACATACCTCCCACCCAAAACAAAAGGCACCGTGTTTCCAATGCTTTTCCACCAACAGCTCAACCCGCAATGTTTATCAACGTGTATCCTCCTAGAATTTTTAAATGAGCTTTATTGTGACTTTTAAAATATATATATTTTATTGATTTTTTTACAGAGAGGAAGGGAGAGGGATAGAGAGCTAGAAACATCAATGAGAGAGAAACATCGACCAGCTGCCTCTTGCACACCCCTCACCGGGGATGTGCCCACAACCAAGTTCATGCCCTTGACCGGAATCGAACCCGGGACCCCTCAGTCTGCAGGCCGATGCTCTACCGCTGAGCAAACCAGTTTTGGCTTTATTGTAACTTTTACATATAACAGCATACATGCATTTAAAAAATGTATAGATTTCTGATGGGAAGGGGCAGGTAGAGAGAAACATCATTGATGAGAAAGAATCAGAGATCAGCTGCCTTCTATGTACCCCTTACTGGGGATTGAACTGAAAAGCTGGGCATGTGCTCTAACTGGAAATCAATTCCTGACACCTGGAACTTAGGTGGCTGGAACATACATGCATTTGAACATGGCTGAGTGGTGACCAATTTATAAAGTTTTAAAATAAAGTCCTTCTCAGCAATTAGAAATTTTAACCCCATTTCTGCTCAGCATGTCCTGCATGTCCCCCTTTTCTTCACAGATAAATGCCAACACCTGAATGTGCATTCAGGACAGAGTCTTAGGAGTGACCTCAGCCCGTGGTTTGTGGAGAACGATGGTGTCAGGAGGGGAAATATTGACAGGAAATGGCAGTTACCATGGCCACGGACTAGGAGAGCACACGAGGGCTCCCCCCCCCACCTGCCCTGCCCCAGGGAGGGGCCCTTCTCCCCGAGGCCCCTGGGACCCACGGGAAAGAGGCCCCCAGCCCCCACGAATGAATCCCACACAACACAGAGCCCACGTCCCGCACAGAAGGGACGCGTCTCCCCCCACTGGCTGTCCCTGCTCTGGCCCTGACGTGAGCCTGCACGGGCCTAAGAGCTGGTGCAGGTGACGTCACTTAAATCCTGACTCCTGACCAGCCCAGGGAGCTGTGGTCAGACTCCCCCTGCGGACGCTGAGTACAGACTGGAGATGCCCCTGAGGTGATGGGGAGGACACAGGATGGGCCCCCTGGCCTGTGCCTAGGGCAGGGGCAGTGTGCGGAGCAGTGGGAAGGCAGAGGTGGTCTCTCCTGGGTTCTGGTCCCCATGTCACTCAATGGTGTGTCTGGGCCTGGACACTAGAGGGCGCTCTGGGCTCACTCCTGAGGGATCTGTGGGGTTTGACCTGGGGCCAACCTCCTGGCAGCACCTGGTCCCCTGCTCAGGGCTCACAGCTGTGGTCCCTTAACCATGGCCCCACACAGCCCCGCCCTGAACACACCCAGAGCCCTCCTCAGACAGAGGCACCTGCCCCAGGGCCCAGGGAGGATCAAATAGATGGGGTCTCATTTGCATAAAAGGGCCCTCCCTCCCGCAGACTCTGAAGAGGGGCAGGGAGAGAGGTGGGGAGCTCTGCTTCAGCTGTGGGCACAGGAGGCAGGACTCAGGGATGACCTCCACCATGGCCTGGGCCCCTCTCCTCCTCACCCTCCTGGCTCACTGCACAGGTGACTGGATAGGAGACAGGGGAAGGGGCCTTGGGAAGACACATGGGCCCTGCTTCCTCCTCTTGTCTCCAGACCCAGACTCACCCTGTCTGTGTCTCCCCCTCTTCCAGGATCCTGGGCCCAGTCTGTGCTGCCTCAGCCACCCTCAGTGTCCGGGTCCCTGGGCCAGACGGTCACCATCTCCTGCACTGGAAGCAGCTCCAACATTGGGGGTGGTTACCCTGTATCCTGGTACCAGCAGCTCCCAGGAAAGGCCCCCAAATTCATCATCTATGGTAATAGCAACCGACCCTCAGGAGTCCCTGCTCGATTCTCTGGCTCCAGGTCTGGCAGCTCAGCCACCCTGACCATCACGGGGCTGCAGGCTGAGGATGAGGCTGATTATTACTGCTCAGCATGGGACAAGAGTCTTAAAGCTCCCACAGTGCTGCAGGCCTGTGGGGAAGTGAGACAAAAACCTGCTGTCCCTCTTGACACGGGGCTCCCCTAGCAGATCCCACTCCTCCAACAATCCAGCTGCTTCCTGTGCCTGCCCGGACCCGGGCCTGAGACCCATTCAGTGAACTTGGTTCAGAAAACCTGTCCCATCCTTTCATTCCAGCCCCCTCCCCTCCAGCCTTGATTTCTTCACATGGAGGAGAAACTCCGGGTGCCAGGCAAACTGCCCTGGGCAGAGGCCACAGTGGGTCAGGGCAGGCCCAGGCCCCGGGGTCCAGCTTGGTCTGAGTGGAGCACATGCACAGTGTCCACCAGGGGCCCCCCCAGTGCCCAGGAGCAGCCTGCCCTCAGCTCCTCTTTGGAGGGGCCCCTGGGATTTGGGATGGACCCTCGGGCTCCGGTCTGGGAGGGGCTTCCTGTCCATCACTGGGCTGAGGCCGAGAGCCAGGCTGCTCTCCCTGTGCCCACCGCGCTGCCCTGGGGGCTCCCCCGTCACTGCTGGGCCGGGACCCGTGGCCGGGCTGGCTCAGGCCTGGGGCTTTGGGCGTGTCTGCTGTCCACCCCATCCATGCTGAGGGCTAACCACTGGTCTCCCCCTGTTCCTGTGCAGCCTCTAAACGTGCAGAGTCATGCTGACTCATCGTTTCGTGTCAGTCACACAGCCCGTTCCTGATGGCTGTGGGGTTAAGTCTTATGTCTTCACATCTTAGCTAACCCCACCCATTGGCTAAGATGCTGGTGTGGGAGTCAGCCTTCTGTCTGTGGAGAGAGTGAAGTTTCCATGTTGTAAACGTCTCTGTTTCCATCTGTGTGTGTTTATTAGAAATATGTTTTAGAGCCGAGACCGGTTTGGCTCAATGGATAGAGTGTCGGCTTGGGGACTGAAGGTTCCCAGGTTCGATTCTGGTCAAGGGCATGTACCTTGGTTGCGGGCATATCCCCAGTAGGGGTGTGCAAGAGGCAACTGATCGATGACTCTCTCATTGATGTTTCTAACTCTCCATCTCTCTCCCTTTCTCTCTGTACAAAATCAATAAAATATATTTTTTTAAAAAAAGAAATATGTTTTAGATTTGGTCAAAGGCTCTGTCACAAGATCAATTAGGATACCATGAGCTTATCTGTTGATCTAATAATGTGAGCTATCTATCCTATATCATAAAAGACTAATATGCAAATTCACCAAATGGTGGACTGACTGGTTGCTATGATGAGCAGTGACCACAGGGGACAGACGTCCAACACAGGAGCCGCCCCCTGGTGGTCAGTGCGCTCCCACAAGGGGAGCACAGCTCAGCCAGAAGCTGGCTCACAGCTGGCGAGCTCAGTGGCAGTCACGGGAGCCTCCTCGCCCGTGAAGAAGCTGTAAGGAGCAGTGAGGAGGCGAGTGGTATAGAGCAATGGTTCCCTGACTGCGATTGGGATCCTGGACTGTAAGAGGGATGGATGTCTGACTTAGGCGCAGGTGATTGGGCCTAAGTCGGCAGTCAGATATCCCCCGTGGGTCCCTTACTGGCAAAGGGCACAGGCAAGGCTGAGGGACCCTCTCCTCCGCCTGGTGCAGGAATTTCTTGCACAGGGCCCCTAGTATGATCATATTTACTGAATGTGTTATGTTGTGTTACATTTAAAGTTTTATTAATATGAAGCAAAACTTGTATCATTGGGTTAAATCACTCGACATAATAATGCAGGGCCATCTGCTCATATTTCATTTAAAACATTAATGGGAATATTTAAAGCCATTGGCCGTTATTTTTTCATTGTCTATAACTTATGTGTAAGCTGTGTTCATCAATATGAAAACAAAAACACTATGACATCCTACTTACTGTTAAATGTTATTGAAAAATCTGTGCCCGTTAAATTGGAGCCATCTGATCTCGGAGGGTTTGGCAGAGTTCCCTGTGAAACGCCTGCATCTTATGCTCCTCACTGGAGTGGTTCATTACATTTTCTATTTTTTCTACTAATATTTGGCCTTTTAATTACTTTACTTCTTTCAGAGTCAATTCTGTATCTTCCGAGGAGAGAGTATATTTTATCTGTTTTCACTAGGGGTTCTCGCTCAATGTTTATAATGTAGAGCTGCTGTCCCACATGTTACAGTTCTACCTGACCAGGAGGGGGCACTGCTGGGCGGCCCTGGGTTCCTGCAGAGCTGTTCAGTGAAGACTGTGCCCTCAGAGAACCTGGGCCTCCAGCTGGGCCCTGTGCTCCCTGAGGAGACGGAGCAGCTGGGTCAGCTCTGGATGGCAGCGCCCCCTGAGCGGGGGACCTTGTGTGGTCTCAGCAGGTGCTTCCTCCCAGGGCCCTCCAAGGGCTGAGCCCAGCTCCATGCCCCTCAGTCTGGGGTGTGAGCTGAGCTGCAGCCCCAGGACCCAGGGAGGGGCTGGGCAGTCCCTGGAGAGACCCATTTGCATGGCAGCCCCTCCCCTGGCAGAGGGCGGGGGAGAAAAGGAGGCCTGGGCAGCCCAGCCCCACTGTGGGCTCAGGGCTGTGAGCACCATGGCCTGGACTCCTCTGCTCCTGGCGCTCCTCTCTCTCTGCACAGGTAGGGCCAGGCCTGGGCCCAGGCTCCTTCCCTTCCTGCTCGGTCTCCTGGGAACCTGCCCCTGGTCCCTGCCCCTCACTGACAAGTGTCTGTGTCTGCAGGGTCCCTGTCCCAGCCTGTGCTGACCCAGCTGCCCTCCCTCTCTGCATCTCAGGGAGCTACAGCCAGATTCTCTTGCACCATGAGCAGTGGCTCCAATGTTGGCAACTATGTTATATCCTGGTACCAGCAGAAGCCAGGGAGCCGTCCCCGGTTTCTCCTGGCATATAAATCAGACTCAGATAAGGTCCAGGGCTCCGGGGTCCCCAGTCGCTTCTCTGGATCCAAAGACGCCTCGGCCAATGTGGGGCTCCTGACCATCTCGGGGCTGCAGCCCGAGGACGAGAATGACTATTACTGTCACACATGGGACAGCAGCTCTAAGACTCACACAGTGGTCCAGACCCACAGGGAAGTGAGACAAAAACCTCCTCTCCACTCTCCTGGCCTGGCCTTGGTCCCAGCTGGCTGCTCTGCCGGTTCTGGTTCAGCCCTGACTGTGCTGGTCGGTGTCCATCCGGCACCGGGTTCTCCTTGGACCTGTGGTCCTGACAGTGTCCCAGCTGTGACGTCAGGTCAGCGTTCTCATGGATGTGTGGCTCAGGTCCTGTTTGCCATGCTCCCTTCCTCACAGTGACATTCCTCAGGGATAACGGTTCCCATGGAGACAGATGAGGAGGTGGAATCAGATCCATGCAGGCCAAGCTCAGCTCCGATTCCAGGGGGGACTGAGGTGGGGTCCTGGTGTGAGGGCTCATCTCTGAAATTTCATTAAAATCCCACCTGCTGAAATCCGGTGTGTTCTGTATAGTCCATGTGCTGGTGTTACCAATAACAACACTGTCTGTAGCCGCATCCATAGGAGGTCCTCGAGGCGGAAATGAGAGGAAACACGAAAGCCGGGCGTGGGAAATGGGTGGGGAGCACCTTCTCTGTGACGTCACTGCATTGTAGACACCAGGTCGGACCGAAAGCACAGGGTCTCCCCAGCAACAATGACAAAGACACACGCCCCCGTGAGGCCCATTCCCAGGCTCCTGGGCGGTGGGTCTGACCGGGTGCGGGCAGTGGTTGGAGCCGTGACCTTGGTCCAGCGGGTCCTTCCTGGGGGAGGCCCCGCACAGGCGGCCGCAGGTCAGGGAGCCGCCGGGTCAGCGGGAGGCCTGGTCCCGGGGGAGCTGGGACCAAGTCCTGCCCCAGCCTCTGGCCCCCAGTTCTCAGGAGACAGTGCCCGCGGCCCCGCCCCAGAGGGAGCGATGCTTCTGTATGGGGGTGACATCACAGAGGTCCCAGGGCCAAGTCAGGGTGCCCCCTGGGAGGCCGGATGGAGGAGGGCGTCAGAGACCAGCAGGGGGCAGTGTGCTGGGCCTGGGCCTCAGGCGGGGTCCCTGAGAGGGTCAGGGCCACTGTGCCCCTTTGGGTGGAGCCTGAGAGCCGGGCGGGGGTCCGGGAGTGTCTCTCGTGTGTGTCCTCCGTCCGTGTCCTGGGGGTTCGGCCCCACGTCTGCTGGACCCCGTGTGGCTGCTGACCGCCGGGCTGTGCTGGTCACAGACGTCCAGGGTGCAGGCCTTCCCTGTTCCCCACGAGGATTTGGTTCCATGGAGGCCCCCCTTTCCCAGATGCTCCATGAAGAGCCCCCACAGGGCCCCCCGTGGGACCTGGTGACCGTGACAGGACCTGAGGGGACAGGGACGGGCTGTGCAGGCCCAGGGCAGCCAGGGGCCGGGGGGAGGGACAGTGCAGGGCTGCGTGGTGGGCGTGGAGGAAGGCCAGCGGGCGGGGCCTGAGGGCAGCTGAGGACTTGGGGGTCGGGGGCGGACGGGGGGCCCCTGAGGGTTCTGGGCAGGAGGACCCGCCTGAGCAGGAGGGACCGGGCTCTGGAGGGAAGGAGGAGAGAGCCTGGTCCCCGGCTGTGCCCATCATCGCCCGGGGCATGGGGGCGGGCACAGGAGCACCTGCAGGCGGAGGCCCAGGGGAGCCAGTGCCCTGAGGACCTGCTCAGGGCCCGGCTCCACCTGCACCCCCAGCACCGCCCCTGTACCCCCTGCACCCCCAGCACCCCCAGCACCATCCCAGCAAGGACGCAGGTCCGGAGCCACGAGGGGGTTTACATACAAACACGTGTCAGCACACCCAGGAGAAACCGGTGAAACACACATGGGACACAGACACGCAGAACCCACAGCTGCAGGAAGACACAGCCAATTCCTAAACCTTAACATGTACCACCGCCAACAGCCCCGGGCGGCGGGGGGGATGTGGAGCCGGTGAAACTGTTTCTGTTTGATGGATCACTGACTCAGATCCCCAGTGTATGAACCTGCACATGCCTCGCAGGGTGGGAAATGTTTGCTGCATGGTCCTCCTCCGAATGCGACCCTGAGGGCATTTCTGGAACCTTCCTCTCTCCCTCAGGGACCTGCTCAGCCCCAGGAGCTCCTCCCCCTGAGCAGCGCCCTCCCCTGTGGCCTGCACAGAGGCTCCCTGGGTGATTCTTGTGCAGCATCTTCCCCGGGAGAGAAACCCCGTTCCTGTGTCGCTGGTGAGTGTGGGAGCCCCGCACACAGACGCTCACCTGAGAGCGCCCGCTCCCGCGATCAACACAGACACAGGCCGCGGGGTCTGGGCTCAGACCCTGGGGCGGGAGGAGGGACAGAGACCTGGGAGCCCTCAGCCAGCTGGGCTCTCAGGGCCTTGGGGCAGGGGAGGGGGGGGGGGGTGTCCTCCCGCCAGCAGGGGGCGCTGTGAGACTGCAGGTGATCAGCTCACAGCTGTTCCCTGAGACCTTCCCACACAGGGGCCTGCACTGTGGGCTCCCTGCTGTCCTTGGGGTCTGGCAGCGCCCCCTGAGCAGGCACCTGTGTGGGGTCTCAGCAGGTGCTTCCTCCCAGGGCCCCCCAAGGGCTGAGCCTACATCCCTGCTCCTCAGTCTGGGGTGTGAGATGAGCTGCAGCCCCAGGGCCCAGGGAGGGGCTGGGCAGTCCCTGGAGGGACCCCCATTTGCATGGCAGCCCCTCCCCTGGCAGAGGGCGGGGGAGAAAAGGAGGCCTGGGCAGCCCAGCCCCACTGTGGGCTCAGGGCTGTGAGCACCATGGCCTGGACCCCTCTGCTCCTGGCGCTCCTCTCTCACTGCACAGGTAGGGCCAGGCCTGGGCCCAGGCTCCTTCCCTTCCTGCTCGGTCTCCTGGGAACCTGCCCCTGGTCCCTGCCCCTCACTGACAAGTGCCTGTGTCTGCAGGGTCCCTGTCCCAGCCTGTGCTGACCCAGCCGCCCTCCCTCTCTGCCTCTGTGGGAGTCACAGTCACACTCACCTGCACCCTGAACAGTGGCTTCAGTGTTGGTGATTACTGGATATACTGGTTCCAGCAGAAGCCAGGGAGCCCTCCCTGGTATCTATTATCTTATAAATTAGACTCAGATAAGTACCACGGCTCCGGGGTCCCCAGCCGCTTCTCTGGAATCGCAAATGCCTCGGCCAACGCGGGGCTCCTGACCATCTCGGGGCTGCAGCCTGAGGACGAGGCTGACTATTACTGTAACACGTGGGACAGCAGTTCTACGACTTACACAGAGGTCCAGACCCACAGGGAAGTGAGACAAAAACCTCCCCTCCGCTCCCCTGGCCTGGCCTGGGCCCTGCTGGCAGCTCTCACTCCCCGACCCCCTCAGCACCCTCAGCACCATGAGGTCTCACGTGAAGGCTCGGTCACGGCTGACTGTGTATGAACGTGTGAGGCAGCATTTCTGCCCCCATGTCCTCCCCTCCTTGTTCGGGGGAAAAACCATGTCAGGCCTGATACTTGCGACTATAGGGCTGCTTATCTGCCTCCCACTTCCCCCAGACCCTCCCGGCTCCTCCAGGTCCTTCCTCCTTCTGCCCTCGGAGGGTTTTCTGGCCCAGAGTCCGGGAGAGCCTCCCTGTGCCTCAGCCGCATGCAGCTCCGCCTCCTCCCCTCCCTCCCACAGTGTTCTCTCCCTCCACAGGGCTCCCTCCCTCCTGGGCTGCTCTCCTGTGTCTGTTGCTCCCCTGCCCCCAGGCCCCCTCCTGGCTGTGTCACAGAAAACCCGGGAAGGACCGAGCAATGCTTTGAGAGATGGAGTAACATTTAGTACTTGCTGGTCCGGAGAAAAATGTCTCTCCGATCCTGGGCCCCAACATGGAGGAACTTGCCCTATTATATGTGTTTACCTCCTTTGTCTCCGAAATAGGGGTGTCTCAGGCCCCCTTTTCAAGTTCTTAAATAGCCCCTGTGTGCTGGGGACTTGAGAGCCCAACCATAGGCCTGGCCTGGAGCCAGCAGTGATAACCTTGTCCGGGAAGGTTTCATGGCCTCTGAAGTGGGAGTCGCTCATGTTGCTTATTATTTAAGCCAGCAAGCATGTGCAGAAGCCACACAGCAAGGTTCCAATGGCAAACAGCAGTGTTTATATAGGATGGATGCTTCCATTGGAGACTCCTCATATCCCCTGGATTCATCTCCGCATGGAGAGTCACGTCTCTACACGGACGATAAATACTCTGATGAGAGGAGACCAGCTCACCGCGTCCCCAACAGGGACCTGGGGATCAGCACACACCAGCTGGGCCTCAGGGCTTTGGACCAGGGAGATGTAGTGTGTCCTGTGGCCAGCAGGGGGCTCTGTGGGATCGCCTTCTGGCCTCCACACAGCTGCTCATTGAGGACTTTCCACTCACAGGAGCCTGGGCCTGGGGGCTGGGCCCTGTGCACCCTGATGGGAAGCAGCTGTGTCTCTCCTGGCAGTGCCCCCTGAGCAGGCACCTCTGTGTGGTCTCAGCAGGTGCTTCCTCCCAGGCCCCCCAAGGACTGAGCCCACCTCCATGCCCCTCAGTCTGGGGTGTGAGCTGAGCTGCAGCCCCAGGGCCCAGGGAGGGGCTGGGCAGTGTGGAGGGACCCCCATTTGCATGGCAGCCCCTCCCCTGGCAGAGGGCGGGAGAGAAAAGGAGGCCTGGGCAGCCCAGCCCCACTGTGGGCTCAGGGCTGTGAGCACCATGGCCTGGACCCCTCTGCTCCTGGCGCTCCTCTCTCTCTGCACAGGTAGGGCCAGGCCTGGGCCCAGGCTCCTTCCCTTCCTGCTCGGTCTCCTGGGCACCTGCCCCTGGTCCCTGCCCCTCACTGACAAGTGTCTGTGTCTGCAGGGTCCCTCTCCCAGCCTGTGCTGACCCAGCCGCCCTCCCTCTCTGCCTCTCCGGGAGTCACAGCCAGACTCACCTGCACCCTGAGGAGTGACATCAGTGTTGACGGCTACAGGATATACTGGTACCAGCAGAAGCCAGGGAGCCGTCCCCGGTATCTCCTGAAATATAAATCAGACTCAGATAAGCACCAGGGCTCCGGGGTCCCCAGCCGCTTCTCTGGATCCAAAGACGCCTCGGCCAATGCGGGGCTCCTGACCATCTCGGGGCTGCAGGCTGAGGACGACGCTGACTATTACTGTGCGATCTGGTACAGCAGTGCTTCCCACAGTGACACACTCAGATGGGGAAGTGGGACAAAAACCTCGCCCTCCCAGAGTCTGATGTCACATCTTCTTACCCTGTTAACCTAACATCCAGGAGCAAACTCCACGGGGAAGAACCTTCTGGTTCCTGAGGGGTCACTTTCCCCGTTTGCTCCCATGTCTCTGCGTCTCAGAAGCACAGAACCAGCACCAACGCCCACTGGTCCCCACGTCCCTGAACGGCGGCCTGTCATCCGTGGGCCCCAGACCAGGGCCCGGGCGATGGCTGTGTCTGACGTGAACTAAGGAAACAGCTGTGTGACCTGTTCCCAGAGCCCAGGCCCCTTCCAGCAGGCGGCCCGTCCCCGGAGCAGGGCCTTCGTGCCCAGAGGTCAGAGCAGGGACCCCTCCCTCCCGGCTCCTGTGACTGCCCGGGTTGCAGGCTTCAGCCCCTCTAATGAGTGTGCAGGGGGCACTCGATCAATGATTCTTTGTCATCATTGATGTTTCTATCTTCGTCTTCCTCTCTCTTCCTCTCTGAAATCAACAAAAATAACATTTTTTAAAAAAAAAGTTAGAGTAAAGGGACCCAGAGGCTCCTCACAGCATCTTCACAATGTCTGGGAATCGGTATAAATTCCCTCTCGGTAGGTCAGGACCCCGGACGTTAAACACGTGAAGGTGGGAAGAGAATGGATGGACAAGACCCCTGAGGCGCCCAGAGGAGGGTTCTGGGCGAATAGAATTGAACAGGGTCCTCCAGGCCATCGGGGGGCAGACTTGCTTCTCAGTCCAAAGAGAAGAGGGGACCCAGGATGGGACAGACTCTGGGCACAGACACAGGGCAGTTATGGACCCAAAACTAAAACAGGGGAACAGGGGACCTCTCTGCAGGGCGTCGGAAGTATAATATTTGCCTCTGCCATCTCTCTCGCTGTCAATCAATCTCTCTACCATCTATCAATCTGTCTACTAACACATATCTCTATCTATCTATCATCTATCTATCTTCCTATCTATCAATCATCTATCTATCTATCATGTCTATTTCCAGTGGCTACAATCATTCCTTCTATAGTTCCGACCACCATGACTATTACCCAGGGCGTCACCAGGGGGCACTGTGGACCTTCTCAGAGCTGCCAGCACTGAAGCCAACTCTGATGGTTCTAATGGAGTGAGCTCTGCGCTCATGCTCATGGCCTGGGTGTGAGGTGCCAGCAGGTGTTTCCCCTCCAGGGACCGACTCAGAGCCACAGCCTCCCCAGCTTCCTCACCGTGAAGCTCCCCAAGGGGCCCAGGACCCAGGACAGGAGGGTCCTGTGGGCTCACATTTGCATAATGACCAGCAAACGCCCCTCTACCCAGGAGGCCGGGAGGAGATAAAGGGACAGCCGAGCCCAGCAGGTGCCAGAGACCAGGGCCCCTGGGAAAGTCTCCACCATGAGCTGGACTCCCCTCCTCCTCTTCCTCCTCCTCCTTGCTCTCTGCCCAGGTACAGGGCCATTTCAGAGACCAGCCTGTGGGGGGTCCCTTGGCCTTTATCCTTCATTCCTGATTGTGTCTGCTTTTGTTTTAGGGTCCAGGTCTCAGGATGTGGTGACTCCAGAGCCTGCCATGACCGTGTCCCCAGGCCAGACGGTCACTCTCACCTGTGGCTCCAGCACAGGGGCTGCCATTAATGGCCACTACCCTCACTGGATCCAGCACAAGTCTGGCCAGGCCCCCAGGGCTCTGATTTACAACACCAACAACAGACACTCCTGGACCCCGGCCCGGTTCTCAGGCTCCATCGAAGACGGCAAAGCTGTCCTGACCCTGGCAGGGGCCCAGCCTGAGGACGAGGCAGAGTACTACTGCCTTCTGTGGTTCAGAGACTATTTCCACAGTGACAGGTGCCGGAGGGGGAGTGAGGCACAAACACCAGCTCAGGCCCCCCTGCCTCCAGGGCCCCGTCTGCTGTGCACAGGGCGGCGTCCAGCTGGCGTGGCTCTGAGGTTGCTCTCTGAGGCCCCGGACCAGGCAATCGCATCCGTTATTCTTGGCTGTGATCATTGTATGAAAACAAGAGCCAATGTAATCACCAGCCTCACAGGAAACGGGCAGGAGCAGCAAGAGGAAAAGTCACCCTCACTCACACTCACACTCACACTCACACTCACACTCACACTCACACACACAGTCCAGTCTGAATTACACTTGAGCAGCATTTAATAATCAAGATAAAATTTATGAATCTTATCTAATCTGGAGGGAATATGCAAATTGACATCACACCTTAATGACCAAGATGGCTGCACCCACAGCTGAGACAGGGATTCTGTAGCACAAGGTGTTGGTGTCCAGAGCCAAAGCTTAACGAGCCTTAAAGAGCAATCAGCAGGGACCTGAGGCTGGGCTACCTCCCCTCCCCCGCCTTGGTGGGGCTTGACAAGGGTGGGGCCAGCGGGGTGTCTTTCTCCCCAATGGGGTGGGGCAGGCTGGGGCTGCGTCTCCTACAATTTTGAGAATTGACTTTAGATCTTTCAGCGTGCCCCAGACTCTGAAAGGAGGAAGGTTTTCATATACATTTTACTATTTTTTTTTTTTTATAAATCTCTGACACTTCTATTACACAGAAAGGGCAAATACCATTAAAATATTTTCTCTAATGAATTCCCTTTAAATGCGCACAGATTCCGTGCACCGGGCCATTAGTATAGTATAACAACAGCAGAAACGGAGAAACTTTGAAACAGAGTTGGACCATCCATCACAGCTGAATGTTTTGCCCGTCTTCCCTTCACACCCGTGTGCGGTGGGAGGGCAGACGCCCTGTAGGGGGGGTCACAGCCCCCGTGTGTTCTATAGTGGACCCTCTGCCCCAGAGCCGGTTCCCACAGTCCCTCTGAGGACTGGGCAATTGTCCCGTGGGGCTCAGTGTGAGGACAGAGTCAGGGACCGAAGTCCAAGCTGAGATCATGTCAAGGTTGGGCGAAGCCTCAGACGCTGGAGAGAGATCAGACAGTACCTCCCTGGGGCCTCCCTGGGAGCACGGGCTGCCAGCACCTTGACCTCAGACTTGCACCCAAACCCTGAGAGGGACCCTCTCCCTGGTTCTGAGGGGCTCAGACCGTGGGCCTTGGTGGCAGCGTCTCCAGGACACAGCCTGTCAGGACAGCCCATCCTGCTCAGCGTGGGGTGAGCTGAGCCCAGCACCGGGGCCCAGGGGCTGGGCAGTCCCTGGAGGAACCACATGTGCAGGGACAGCGCCTCCTCTGGCTGAG